CCGGGGAGGCCTCGCTGCAGAGGGGTAGAGAAATCTCTGTGGTAAAGGACAGCACTTCAAGCTGCCCGGGAAGCAGACAGCAAGCTGGGATTAGGTGTCCTCGAGCCTAATTCCGGGATTGGGGGAGGGATCATGAAAAGGTGGTGGAAAGCCATTAGACTAAGATGTGAATCTGATTCTGGGAGGGACTGAAGACTGAAGTAAGGAAACCTTCGGCCCCAACTTAAAGCAGATAGGAGTTCCAGCAGCTCCATCCAGAGACCGTCAAGAGGGCCCTCACACCATTCTTCCTCACTTCTTCTGCCATGATTGGTCCTTGGCTAGGAGGAGCCCACAGGCAGGCAGCACGGTCTCAATGTGATGGTGGACAAGCTTCAGTGAAACATCTGGCTCCAGGAACTGGTTACTTTTGCTATGACATCTGAGTGGCACGGTTCCGTGGGATAGGAGTTTAGGGCACTTCAAGCCATCTGTGTCTTCCTACATGCTCCTACAGTCCCACTGGGGCCTCAGCCTTTCTCAGACAAAGCTCTGTCTTCATGTAGGAGCTCTGGAGAAGCTGTGAATTCAAGTTGCATTGTGGGTACTTAGGACAGAACCCAGGCTTCACAATGCTGAGAACATGTTGTTCACTGAGCCTTGGCCTTAGTCCTGGAACCCCGATTTATAACTGCTCAGTTACAGGCCCAGGCTCATGGGTGGTGTCCAGCATGGTGAATGGGTACAGTCTCGGGGACAAAGCCCCTCAGCCATGGAATGGATAATGTCCCCAGGTGGATGCTAGCAGAGTTGAGCTCAATTAGAGAAAGCTGGTTTCGCTGATGAATAGCTTGCTTGCTGGATATGGGACAAGCTCCACACAGCTGATCACACACCTTGTCTGTGTTGTTTATGGTGTAAGAACAGAAGAAAAAAAAGAGGTGTTCTCTTCTCGAAGTGTATACAGCAAGTAGGAGGCCGGGTATGTAGTTCAGTGCATACACAAGGCCTTGGGACCAGTGTCCAACACTGCAAAACGACAAACCCAGAACGGCAACAGAAAGCCTCAAACCCCCTGGACATTCGCCTGCACCGATTTTGAGAGCCTCTTCTGTTTACCACTCCTGGTATTCACTTGATTCAGCATTGTGAGCACACACACACACACACACACACACACACACACACACACACACACCCGCGCCGTACGGGACTCCGGAGACCTGGTAGGACACCCACAGCGTTTTTGAGGTCTCCTCCACATTGCACGGAGTCACTTTCTTCTCCATGTGTATCCAGGTGGCCTGTAGGCGACATATGCCGAGGAGGGACGGAGGGCGGGGTACGAGCACTGTCCACTTCACTCGAGGCTTCTAACTGTGCCTGCTAACCTTCCCAGGAACCCTGCTTTATCTTCTCGCCAACATTTGCTTTGGGGATAGAAACCAATAGCACCGTCTTTGAATTTTCCTTTTTCTGACTGAGTATATTTGTGTTTGTTCCTTTGGCCTGTGGGTGCCTGCTGTCTGCTCAGCCAAGACCCGAAGGAAAAGAGTGTCCCTCATGTCCCTTTCCTGTCAACGTGTGAGAGTTTATTGGTTAATCATTTGTCTAAGCGTATTCCATTGTATCTAATTATATCAAAGTAGTCTCCTATGTTAGGCACTCTCACAGTGATAGTGTCTTGGATTTTGTTCCCTTAGCCTTGCACTTTTTTTCATGTAGGGTTCATGAAACCCACAGTTTAACACAGCATGACTAACCTAGCTTTGTGCTTTTCTCTATACCGTGAGCCAGCTAGTTTTCCCAGTATGGGTTCTCCGTTTCTAAAGGTTTCATCATTACCAAGCAGCTCAGCCTGGAGGCTATCCAGGAGCCTAGATGAGTCAGAGGTTTGCAAACGGTTGCAGTTAGAAAATGTCTCCATGAAACCTGAGGCGGGGAGGCTCCGACGTGACTGAGCTGCAGAGGGTTTGCCTGTGGCGAATGTCATGTGGAGACCCGGGCGCAGAGTTTGACAGAAATGTACAGGTGCTGCGGTACATCCCCAGAGATCCAGGGCTTGAAGCAAGAGGACTCAGAAGCCAACAGCACGCCTGTAATCCATGATGGAATATTCCCGGAAGGCAACTCTGATGTCATGGATCCAAATTCACACATTTCTAAAATGTATGTCTTAAAAGGTGAACGTGGTTTAACCGCCGTAAGGATATGGAATAGCCGGAGGTTCAGAGCCTGGGTCCTGGGGTCAAATTCTGGCCAGCCAGCCCCTGGATGACCTTGAGCAGATCACACCTCTGAAGGCGGTGCATGAGATAATTCTGATGTACCTAGCCAGGGACCAGCATCAATTACATCAATTAGGCACTCAATAAAGAGCAACACTAAAAGGCCTTATTAGATGCTTGACTTGGCATTCCATGGAACACAAAGAATGGAATTCTCCTGACCCTCAAGAGATTTCTGAGCTAAGGAGGGAGACAAGTTACAAAACATAAGTATATCATGAAAGAAATCTTTAGACTTTGCTCTAAGAAAGTTCATATGCTCAGGATTCAAATAAAAGAATGGCAAATCAGTGTAAGGAATGCGAGGCCCTGAGTAGAATTCTGAGCCGAGGAAAGCAACACCAAACTTTAGAAAAGACTGAGTTGATAACAGTTGCAGAGTGCAGAGGGAGGTACCCAATGAGGTCCAGATAGGGTGCCGACAGTGAGGCTGACAGTGCAGAAGTCAGTGGGAAAATACCGTTTATTATCTCCTACTCTTAAAAGCCTTTCTCCAGATGGTGAGAATTGGTAAGCAGGGAAAGGTTTTGCATACCAAGTAATTCTCCAACTCATGGGCATCAACTTGGTGTCCTCCAGCTTAACACACTTCTGGCGTTCTCTACCTGAAGTCAGTTTTGATCTCATAAGTTAAAGGGCTCAGTTTAAGACTCTCCCTATTTCAGAGGTCAATTCCAAGTCCATCCATGCGTTTCCTGCTTCTGATTGACCATTGTGCAGTGGGGGACTTTTCCCTTGGGTTTCAGGATTTGCTAGAATGGCTCACAGAGCCTAAGGAAACACTGGGCGCATGCTCATGGGTTTCTAATTCAAAGGTTTGTGCTATAGTTTCGATATACTTAGTCTCCTCAGATCACCATTAGACCTCTAATTAAAAACATGAAATGTAGTTGACAAAGAACACACCAAGTTCTATGTAAGTTGTGCTTGTGGTGCACGTGGGAATCTATGTGAGTTGAGAAAGCTACTGTGGCTGGAGAGGGCCAGAGAGGGTGAGGCCTGGGAGGTCGCAGGGACAGGTTTTCACACAGAGCCATTGGAGAATCTTCCACGAAGGCTTGGCATGGTTGCGGAGGTTCCCCTAGGGGCAGCCAATAGGGGCTTGAGATCTACGTTAGCTTGTAATGTCTGCACCTAGCTGAGTGGCATGGGGCATGTTCACCAGGCAGCCGCTCCTTTCCTCCTAATTATGCTGCTGTGCATTATCTGTGTTCTATTCTACCTATCCTTCATCTCTCTCTAAGTATCTACCTACCTACCTGATCTTCTCTTTTTTACCTTAAATTCTTAAAAACTTTTTAAAATTAATTTTAATATATTTTGATTAATCTTTCTCCTCTCTCACTCATCCTAGATCCTATCTTCCTACCCACCCGACTTCATGTTCCCCCTTCTCTCTCAAAAAAAAAAAAAAAAAAAAGGAAATAACAAAAATAAAAATCAAAACATACACACACACACACAAAACTAAACAAAACATGGAGTCTGTGTTGACCAACTACTTCCGGAGTGCGGCTTACCCAGCGTCACTCCACTGGAGAGAACTAATTTTTCCTTTCCGGCAGGTATCAGTTGTAAACAGCTTCTTGGTCAGGGGTTTGTCTTTGTGTCCACTTCCTCCTCTCAGCGCTGGGATTTTTGTCACAGTCCCTGAGTGCGTAAATGCCTGTCCCCTCGAAGTCATCTACCACCCCTGCGCTAAGACAGCAGCAACCCACCAGGTTGTTAGGCGGTGCTGTGATCCCAGCAAGGAGCACCCTGCTGTGACGGGGCCAACCAGAGAGAGCCGTGTTAGCAGTGACCACAGGCACACACACTTTCCAGCTGTGGCCTCGAAGCGGGATGTAGGACAGTGTGTTTAAGGGGCGGACTCCAGATCAGAGATAAAAAGCCCAGGCTCATTAACCTGCAGTTAGGTGAGCACGCCCGCACAGCGGAAGGGTCAAACTCTTCCTACACAGGACTTCTGTCGTGTGAGGATCACTTTAGGTTCACACACAAAACACTTAAAACATATAGTGCTTTGATAATGGCTCGCTGCTTTGTTAATATTTACTTGTAGGGGCTCTGTCCCTGGGCAATAGTCCGTTCAGCTGGGTGAATGTGAATTGTGCAGCATTACACGCGGCAAAAAGAGAGAGGAGGCGAGGGCTACGTCGATGCACGCCTGTAACCTCCAACCTGAGTGGCTGAGGCAGAAGGATATCAAGTTTGAGGCCAGCCGGAGGTACATAAAGAATTCTAGGCGAGTCATGATCCTCCTTTTTGAAAAGGAGGGTGTAGAAGCTTCGAGGAAAGATGGGTGGGATTGGTGGAGGTGGTGGGCCTCTAGGTTAGAGAGGTTTGGGGCGGGAGTGGAGCTTTCTCCAGGCCTCTGCGACCTCCCCTCCTCCTTCCGCATCCCTCCCCTCCCTTTCCCCTCTCTACCCCAGTTTGAGCTAACGGTCCAGTGGGAGCCCTGGGTTCTTAACCCTCTCCCGCCTCGGAGCTCCCGGCGTCCCCGGGCCTTTCTCGGTGCTGTGGGCAAGCGGACTCTTGTGGTGTGAGATCGGGTGGAACCGGACCCGGACGTGGAAGGGCGAGGGGCGGCGAGGGGCGTGGGCGAGCGCCGGGCTGCGGGCGGGGCGGGGCCGGAGGCGGGGCGGGAGGCGGGGCCTGGAAAGTTCGCGGCGGCCGCGGAGGGCTGGGCGGGCCTCCGGGAACCGTAAAAGGCTGGGGCGGGCGGGGTGGGTGTGGCCGTGCGGGGTGAGCGGAGCGCTGGTCCGGGGCGCGTCGTCCACCGCAGCCTCTCAGCCATGGGCGCCGTGTGGTCAGCCCTGCTGGTCGGCGGGGGTCTGGCGGGAGCGCTCGTCCTGTGGCTGCTGCGGGGCGACCCCGGGGCCCCGGGGAAAGACGGGAGTGCGGTGCCGCAGAAGGACGCCCCTCCAGCAGAGGCTGCGTCTCCGGGAGGCGGTCCGGGTGGCGGTGGCGGCCTGAGCCCTGAACCTTCCGAGCGGGAGCTGGGCTCTAAACCAGGTATTGCTTCTCCGGGGCTCCGGGCAGGCGTGCCAGGTGTTTGGAAGTTCATCAGGGAAGGGGAAATGAAAGCCACTTGGAGCCGTCCAGGTGGGTCCTGGCGGACCGGCTTCCCGCACCCCCGACTGAGCCCTCCCCAGGCCCCATCGCGTTCCGGGGCTGTGGTGTCCCGGAGAAGCCACGCGGGTCCCCCAGAGGCCGCGCCCCGCTCCTGCTGGCTCGAGCGGTCACCTCCAGCGGCTCCTCCGCCTGGCCGCGCTCGGCGCAGTGCTGGAGGCTGGCTTGGGGGCATCTCACAACCCTCTTCAGTCCCTGATGGAGCTGGGAGGGACCTCCTTCTGAGACGCAGTCCCTGACATCTCACACCACGCCTCGGATCTAAATTTGGGGTTAGAGAGCTTTGAGCGCTCACTCCCTACGGTCTGGATAGTTCTTTCAGGAAAGTAAAATTCTGCTTAGACTTGGGTCGTGAAGACCACCGCAGTTGAGGCTGTCCACAAACAGCCCAGGGTGGCGGCCTGCTAGAGAACCCAAGTCTGGTGAGAACTGTCACGAAGTTTAAATCTACACTTTAGAGACTCTGAAGCAGGCAACCAGCGCTCACTGGCACAAGCCCCAAATTCCCGTGCCCTTCTTTGCCAGCTGCCGCTGCCTGACAGAACTTATTTTTAGTGGTGGTCATTTGTAGCTACGAGAAAAATCTTTCCCACGGCTGGGTTTTGGTAAACAGTTTTGGTAAACGGTAAATTTTCTTCTGAAAATTAGTAATTCACAGTACTCTTCGTTGACATCTCACTTCGAAGCTCATCATTAAAAAAGAGACAAAATGAAGGGAGAACCCCCTCCCCCACCCGTGCTGAGTTAAGGTTTTAGGGAGCTCAGGCTTGTAGGGGAGCTGTTTAGGCAGCCAGGAAAGGAACCAAGTCTTTAGAGAACTTGATTGTGTTGATTGTGGAGTTTTAAGAACAGTTTTTAAAGTGTATACGTACGGGGAGTTGGGTGAGGGGAAAACATGTGTGTTTGAAGAGATTCCTTTTCCCTCAAGCCCCCCCCACTTTCCCCTCCCCCCCTCATGCGCTTGGGATTCCCCAGGCTGACTGCTCTGCCTGTTAGCTGGAGCGGGCCCCTGACCTGCACTGCTTCCAGGGAGTTCAGCAGTACTCTGAGGTACAGGGTAGCCATGCAGGCCTTTGTTTCACAAATGCCTCTGTGGCTGAGCCTTGTGCTCAGCTCCTGCCCCAACCCTCGGACAGCATTTTTTTTTTTTTTTTTTTTTGACAGGAGCCAAGTGATTTCACTTTGGATACCTGCCAGCATGGTCTGGACTGTGAGAGACTGCAGCTTGTCTCTTTACTCTCTCATGTTGTCCACTGAGACTCTGAGCATGCTTTTGGTTGTTGGCCCTACATATATGCTCTTAGAGCAGTACTCGGAATGTGCAAATAGGTACTTGAGTTTTACAGGGACTTGAACTGCAGATAGATATGAAGACAGCAGCGATCAACTTTCTCAGTTTTCCACTGTGAACCATCTAACGTTAGCACACTTTCCTTTCTTAGAGCATCTTCAAGGAAGCAACGGACATTTGATTTCTGAGACCACAGATCTTGGTACCTTGCAGAAAGCACAGAGAGCACACAGTGTTGGCAGAGAGTGTGTTCCCGATGGAAAGATTCCAGACACACACTCCAAGGCTGACTTCGAAGTGCCAAGAAATCAAAGCACGGAATGGAGACTCCTCAAAGGACAAGAAACAGTTGCTAAAGCAGCTGGGAGTGTGGCAGAGAAGCTGCCTTCCAGCAGCCTGCTCAGGGATGGAGCTGAATCTGCCAGCCTTGCACAGTCGGTCAGTCAGGACCCAGCAGGCCACGAGGACTGGGAAGTGGTGTCTAGGCACTCTTCTTGGGGGGATGTTGGTTTGGGTGGCAGTCTCCAGGCTTCTGGCTTAAGCCCACGTCAGGGAATGGACGATGGCAGAAGCAGTCTTGTGGGAGGCAGAGGCTGGGAAGCAGATGGGAAGGCGCCGTCTCTGGAACCGCAGCAGGTCAGCATCCGGTTCCAGGTGCACTACACCACAAGCACTGATGTGCAGTTTGTTGCAGTAACTGGCAACCACGAGAGCCTTGGGGGATGGAATGCATACGTCCCCCTTCACTGCCACAAGGACGGGCTTTGGTCTCATTCTGTCTTCCTGCCTGCAGGCACAGTGGTGGAGTGGAAGTTTGTGTTGGTAGAGAACAAGGAAATTACACGATGGGAAGAATGCAGCAATAGACGCCTACAGACTGGCCATGAGGATAAAGTGGTTCATGGGTGGTGGGGGATTCCCTGACTCAGTTTGCAAAGCATCCCCGAGGCTGCAGCAGGGTGAGGAAGAGGCTGAGGCTGTAGAGCACACCGCATGGTTTAAAGTAAGGGCGGTGTGATTCCAAATGTAGCCATCAGAGTTCTTTCAGATTTGCTAGTGTGGCTTCTGTCCAAAAGGTAGGAAGATATATGCATGCAAGCAATGCTTCCTGTGAGCTGGAACTTTTCCCTTGTTGCATTGACTGGTTTGTGCAGACACACCATTACTTGAGCGGGACTGCTCAGGGCCTGGGTAGTTGATTTGGCTAAAAGCCTGAGGTCTGGCCTATGGGCAAGGAGAAACTAATCAACTGCACAAGTATGAGGGAGAGCCCTTAGGAGCTCTTAGAATAGGAAGATTCCAATAAGCCTCGTTAAATCCAGCTAAAGCAGCACTGTTTACATTTAAAATTAACACTGTAAGGACTGTGACCAGTAAGGATCTGAGTGAAACTCAAGACTCCCTGTTAGTTTTTGTCCCATTTTAATGCTGAGGATAGGTGGGAAGCTGGCTGGTATGTCTTTGTCTTAGTGGTTGAAAGCCTAATCAGAGTTGGTCATCCAGGAAGGAGAGCATGAGAGGCTGTGAGATGCTGAGGTGGCTTGAAGGGTATGCTTCTATGAGGGCTGGGGGTTACAGGGCCATGTCTGGCTCCAGCAAAGGGTGCATCTGTCCTCTACCCACAGTGGCCTGGCCGGACCATCTCCGCTGTCCCACCCCACTCCCACCAGATCTCAACAAATGGGCTGCCCTAAGGAAGTTTTTTTCCATCTGTTACCTCTTCACTCTCCTTTCATACCAGTGAGTGAAAATCTATATAGGACCATGATACAGAAGAATCTTTGCTCTGAGAAATAATTATTAAGCATTAAGTTATAATTGAATAATAAATCCTGAATTTTAGTATCTTTATTAAATGCCTAAATTATTTGTTTCAATTTTAGCACTATAACCTAGATAGTAAATAACTGTATAATATTTTACATATAGAGAGAAAAGCAAACATCAAAAGTTACAGCAGACATGGAGAATCTGTTTTCCCTCTCTTGGGGAAAGTTTAAAAAAATTTTTTTTTTTTTTTGAAAGTCTTAAATGTTTTTAAAAACTTTGCTTAGAAAGGAATTTTTGAGGCAGAGTTTTTTTGTACCCCAGGCTTACCCCAATATTCATTATGTAGCCAAGTATGCCTTGAAACTGCATCCACTTCTCAAGTGCTAGGATTATAGGTGTGTGCCACCATACCCAGTTTTGTGCAGTGCCAGGCAAGCACTCCACAACTGAGTTACACCCCAGCTTTGCTGTTTTGAGATGGATAGCCCAGACTGGCCTGGAACTTGCTATGTAGCTAAGGATGATCTTCAGCCCCTGATTTTTCTACTTCCACCTTCCAAGCATTTGGATCAAATGAGTTTTTGTGTGAAAGCAGTCTTAGTACAACACTACAGTAACTATTGGCAAAACAGTATTTAATCCTGGCTAATAAGATGGCCTCTGCTGACAAAATCCTAGATTCAGTGGGAGGCAGCATTGGAAACTGCTTAGCATGCTGTTTGGAAGCTTTGGGCTCACAGCACTTTTGAGATGAATTCATACATTCTGCTTATGTATCTCATAATGCGGTCTGCAGAAGGTCCTGGCCATTACTTCACAATGCTCAAGCATCCCTATGAAGTAAAGCAATTCAAATAAGCCTCTAGAATTCTATTTCTAGTTACCTGATGAAATAAAAGTTAATCTTTCATTAAAGCCAACTGATTTAAGAAACTGTATATATACATATATATACATCTATTATTTATAGTTACAGATACATCTATTTTAATCATTTGACGCTGGGTGTGCTAGGAATGATACCTTTGTCACTTGAGAGCATTACAATGTTCCCCTGAGGGCATGCACACCCTCCTAGGGACTGGCTGCTGTAGCAGATCACCCACCTAACAAGGTACCAACACCTTGTCCCAGTCAGCAGCTCTTCCAGCTAGCAGCTGCCCTCCCTTGAGAGTCTCCCAAGACGAGCCCCTTCTGCCCTGTGGTGCCACCACCCTAAGGATCCTCCCCGTTTTCTGCACCCAACTTGTGGGAGGGAAATGACTTGAGAAACCAAGTGCAGCATTAACACTTTGACCTGAAGGAACACAGATCCCTGCTCACATTCCATTCCACTTGTGATAACTGGCCAGGTGATCACCCTACAGTTGGGGACACGGGGCCTCTGGCTTGGCAGCTGTCTCCATGACAACTGTGTGCCACTTTGTTTGGGTACAAGTGAAACACAGGTCTGTCGCCCTTGTTTCATTATATTTGGCTTGTATACAAATACTCCTGGTTTATTAACATTAAGGTAAACTCTGTTAATTCAATGTAGAAGTTATCTACTCATTTGTTAAAGAGTAACAAAGTATTTTCTTTCTTTAGTTTTATGCAAGAGGAGAGATTTCTAAAAGTTCTGATTGGGGGCACCAAAGTCTTATTGATTACTGATATTGACAGAACAATGAGTTCAAGGTCACCAAAAAAAAGGCTGCTGTTTGTCCAGCATGCTGGAGTTTGTCCTTCTGTTCTTGGCGCTGTATCCCTTAACACCATCCGAACACGTTTTTTTCCCCTCAGAACTCAGAATTTCTTTAAATGGAAAAAAAAAATGACTCTACTATCTTAGAACTAGTAAAGTAATTTAAAACAATTATACCAACATGATAAAGTTAGCATAAGTTAATACGTTATAATTTATGAATACTCTCAAATCTAGCTGCTGAGAGTGTTTGAGAGTGTTTTACCGTGACAGCATTCAAGAACTTTATTTCAAAATAGAGTTTACAGGGTATCTTTTATTAAATTTCACATAAAAGGAAAAAAGTCCACAGGGCACTAATTATATGTAACACCACCATTAATCAGGCGTCAGCCCTCTATAGAGAGCAGGCAAGCAATGCATCATTTTAGTAGCATTTTTTCTTGGTCTTTCACTTTCTGGATCCTCTTTTCTTGATTTCTGATCATTGAAGACATTGCTGAAAAAATCAATTAAGCAAAGTTAGATTGTAAAGTCAACTCAGGTTTTAAATCCCTTCACACTCATCTTCCAGGAGGGACTGTTAGCATACAGAAGGAGCCCAGAGATGCACAAACCTTCAACACAGCACACTTTTGTAAAGGCCTCTACAAACAAACATAACAGCCTCTAATAAGCAGGACAAGATAAAGGAGCATAATTTGAGAGGGCAATAGAGGAAAGCTTCCTTTCCTTTCATCTCCGGGGTCAGAAGTCACTACTGAAAGTAGTTAGGGAGAACTTCCCTGTGCTCCTGTGTGCATGCACACGAATGGAAATCCGTGAATGATTTTGCTCTTGCTGGGGACTTGACGCACAGTCCTACACATGCTACGCTATGTCCTAACACCAAGCTGCGTCTACAGCCTGTGCTTTACATTTTGATAAGTTCTGCCAAAAACCTCCAAAAATATCTGCTCAGAACTTCAAGCACTACCCTACTAGACATCACATCTAGCCCAAGGCACTGTCTTATTAAACAGATGCCACAAGTCTTCCACCCATATGACATAAGGAGGATGAACTCAGAAATAAAAATCAAAGTGTGGTTTTAAGTGGAGCAAAACAAAAACATAAAAAAAACCCCTACATTCTTCAAACAAACAAACAAACAAACAAAAACCCTCACAGCATGGGCAGTAAGTACCAACTATATTTTATAGGTTAAAAAAAAAAAAGACACAAAGTTAGGTGTTTAGGGAAGTGGGTGGAGCTGGTAGAGAAGGGGTGAGTGTGACCAAAATAAATTGTATGAAATTCTCAAACTAATTTTTGAAAAATGACTCGATAAGCTAAAAAGAAACCATTTCTCAGTGCTTAGGGAGAGCTGGGTTTATACAATTTTACTTGAGCTTTCTCCAGCAGTGACGTGATAGAACTTTGGTGTGTTGGAAGGCTGTGCACTTTAGCGTCGAAATTGCAGGGTCAGGTCCCAGCTCTCCTGTTCACTGCGTGACACAGGACTTACTGTGTTGTCTCGTGTTCTCATTTTCTTGTGACACCAGTAACAGCACCCCACGCCCATGCTGCTGTGAAGGCCGCATGAAGGCCAGGGCAGCACTGAGAGCAGGCCCAGGGTGCAAGTGGCTTAATGAATGCTGGCAGAAGCTCTTACTAACACGCTCACATTTATTGTATAAGCGTTTGTTGTTAGAGGCATATTTATTAGCCAGGTGCTATGGCGCACGCATGTAATCCCAGTACTCAGGGAGGCAGAGACAGGCTGGTCTACAAAGCCAGTCCAGGACAGCCAGGCTACAGATAGAAATCCTGTCTCAAAAAAACAAAACAACAACAAAAAAATCTATTTCTTATGTGTGGGTGCCTGTGTGTATGTGTGTATGTATCTTTTGTGAGCTTTCTCCCAGTGCTACAGCCTGGACCCAGGGCTTTTGTTAACTCGGCAAGTGTCCTGCCACTGAGCTGAACCCCTTGCTGAGGCGACCCCTGTGCTGTACCTTGGTTCTTCAGCTGCAAATCTTCTACCAGGGTTTGCAAACTTTCCAGTCTGTTCTGCAGTTTTCGGCATGTTTTTCCTGTTGTTTCTAGTGACGGAGACTGTGAATCTATTAGAAAATTGCTTAGATGTGATATTAAAAGTCTATTCACTATTTCTTTTATAACTTTTCAAATCACGTTAGAAAGCTTTTCTTATAGTAACTTCAAAACTCCTTTGAAATGAAAAAGCTTCCCACTGAAATGCAGCAACACCAGCTTCTTTGGGTTTGTTTCAAGTCAGTAAGACGTAATACTATTCAACTGCAAAGTATTAACCCCGACTCATGAGAAGTCAGTGACACACTGTGTGGGTCAGCTGTACAGCAAGCGAGCAGCTCCTCACTGGGGGCTGGGCGAGCAGGCTCTAACTCGGACACCTGCACACTTTTCAGTGGACCGTCACCTGGGTATGGACAGTCTATATGGCGGGAAAGGGCTGTGTGGATGTTGACACAGCACAGTGGTCCTACGATGTGGCAGCAGGACCTGACCAGGACCCAGCAGGACGAGAGCACTAAGTTCTGCCAGTTTCTGAAAATACTTGGTTAGCAAATGGAAGAGCTGGATTTTGATCTCAGCCCCCCCCCCCGACTAGATAAATAACTTTGAAAACCCTTTTGTTGACATAATTTTTTTTTATCTCCAAATACCCTTTTTGTCGTAATTATAGTATTAAAACTATCTGAAAGTTTTCAATTCAAGAGGATGAGAGACACTATCTTCGGAATATCTGAACAGATATAATATATAACACGGTGTCATATCACTGGGTTGCAGCACTGCCTCCTCTAGCATCACTCTTGACAGGTCCGTTAGCTGATTCTTTACACTTGCCTATGGTTTTCATGCTTTCTTTGAGATGGGTATCACTATGCAGCCAGGGACATGGAATCACTATGCAGCCAGGGACAGGCTGTCACTATCCTTTCCATGTTTCCTGAATGATCAGATGTCACAAAGAGCTTAGACACAAAAGCTAGAAGGTACAATGCACAAAACAGTAAACAATAAAATGTACTCAAATGTGACTAGGTTCTGATTTTTGTACTTTTTTAGGATCTAGAAATACATATGGTATAGAATATCAAAAGACTAAGATGTTTTGACAGTGACACCATTCCTGGTGTGGCTTATGCCTTATCAATGGGGATGACCCCACAAAGTGCTGGGCTGATTTTGGTCACTGCTGTGTAAAATGAAAAACATTTCAAGTCCAAATTCAACACATATGTAACACATATTCTAAAGCACTTGCTATAAATCAAATTGTTTTTTAATTATTTTTAAAAAATAAAAACTAAGCTTAAGATTTTTGATGAGATTTTTAATAAGCTTGTATAACAGACACCTACACTTTAAAATGTGTTAGCTGAAGGAAAGCCATGTTTTAACTAAGCAAGAGTGGAAAGTCTCAGCACTTAGACACAAAGTATTAAAAAAAAAAAAAAAGCAAAACAAAACAGAGGAAAGGCTCACTGTTCACGCCAGACATGAGTAGAAATGAGTTTACATATAGTATCTATGCTCTTATTATACTACGGTATGAGTGTGTGTACACAACGGGTGTGTAATTTAAGCAGCACATTACTTATAGCAGCAAATGCAGGCTGCATCCACGAGGAGTGTGCAGAATCCCGCAGTCCCTGGGTGTAAACACCAATCAGTCCCAGCAGCAATATCAGATCACTCTTACCTTTTGCAGGGTCGGTCGAATGAAGAGCTTTGGTAGACCGATACTGTGATGTGGAGCCTACTGACTCCTCAGCAGAACTAGTCAGGAGGGAGTGAGCTGGAGACTTCTTAGGAGAAGAGTTGAACGAGCGAGAAGCTGACATCTTCACAGATGGACTTGCTAAAGTTGTTTAAGGACAAACGTAAAAAGGCAGATTAGTTAAAAACGATGTACTGCTCATATATACATATGTCAGACCTCTCACAGGTAAATGCCAGCAATGAGAGAAATGGGAGGAAAGCAGAACTTTGGACAGTTATGGCCTAAAAAGAATTCTACCTTATGTGATGACTTAATCTTAGTTAACTTCACTAGATGGAGAGACGTCTGCCTGGATGGCGGAAAGACGCACCTTATATGTGGGTAGCACTGTCTATGGGCTCAGTCCAGCCTAAAACAAAAAGTGGTAGAGAAGCTTGCCCATGGGTGCTAGCTTCGTGTCTCCAGGATGGGCTTGGTACTGCCATCAGCTGGGACCATGAGGGCCCAGCATCATCACCCTTGAGTGTGAACCCAACAGGTGACACTCCAGCCAGTCCCTGGGCCTCCGCCTCCCACTGGGTAGACTTGTTGCCCCTCTTGCTGAAGCTTCAAGATTCTTAGGCTAAGCAACTGTTCTCCCCTAATACTAGCTGCAGATGGCCTTCTTGGACCCCCAGCCTCTGACCATGTAAGTTATTCTATAGTTACAGAAACATCATATGATTTTGTTCTTCTGGTGAACCCTGGCTTAGAAATAAGAATCCAGAGGTCTTGCTTCAAGTCAGATCCACTGGTAATTTGATCAAACTGATCTGGGACCGTCAATGTCCTCAGCTGTCTACAAAATCAAAAACAACAAAAAAATAAATTTTGTATAGAAGGTAATCTCAATCTGAGTCTCAACTCAGTTGTGAAATTTCTCATGGGGTGTCATGTAATAAAAACCAACTGGGTATATAAGAAGAAAAGATGACATGGTAAAAAATCAAGAGAAAAGTCTAAATAATAGATTATTGGTACACAGGGAAACCAGACAACTGAGCTGTCAGGCAGATACTTTCATAGATTCAAACACCTTGATTTCAAATAGCAGGTATGTTCTACCCAGAGAAAGACATAAAATTCCCTGAACTCTGCCCAAAGTTTGGCTATGAGTCTCAGCATCTGCTTTAATACCCTGCTGGGTTAAATCTTCAAGAGTCCCTCTGTGATAGGCTCCTGTCCTGTTCCCTGTTTTCTCCCTCTTCCTATGTCTATCCCATTTGCCTATCTGAATAAGGATTGAGCATCTTACCCAGGGACCTCCTTCTTGCTTAGCTTCTTTAGGTGCACAGATTTTAGTATGATTATCATATATTATGTGTCTAATACTCACTTATAAGTGAGTATATACCATGTGTGTCTTTCTGCTTCTCGGATACCTCATGACAGCCTACAGAATGGGAAAGGATCTTCATCAACCCTGTATCTGAGAGAGGGCTAATATCCAGAATATATAATGAACTCAAAAAGTTAACAGTAACAAATCAAGTAATCCAGTTAAAAAATGGGACACAGAACTAAATAGAGAGTGCAGGGAATCTAATGAAAGAAGGGGGAGATAGAAAGACCTTGAGGGGACAGGAGTGCCACAAGGAGAGCAATAGAACAAAGAAATCTGGGCCCAGGGGTCTTTTATGAGACTGATACTCCAACCAAGGACCATGCATGGAGATAACCTAGAACCCTTGCACAGATGTAGCCCATGGCAGCTCGTGTCCAAGTGGGTTCCCTAGGAATGGGAACAGGGACTGTCTCTGACATGAACTGATTGGCCTGCTCCTTGATCACCTCCCCCTGATGGAGAAGCAGCCTTACCAGGCCATAAAAGAAGACAATGCAGCCAGTCCTGATGAGACCTGATAGGCTAGGGTCAGAGGGAAGGGGAGGACTTCCCCTATCACTGGACTGGGGGGGAATGGGAGGAGAATAGGGAGTGGGGATGGGTTTGGGAGGAGACAAGGGAGGGGCTACAGCTGGGATGCAAAGTGAATAAATTGTAATAAATTATAAAATAAATTTAAAAAAGTGTGGTGAAAAAAATTCTGACCTAGAGTTCTATACTCAATAGTCCCTCAAAATAAGAGTAAAATATACAATTTCAGAAACTGAGAAAATTTATCATCCTCAAACATATATTAAAAACATTAAGTAAAATTATACTAGTTAGAAACTGAAGTGCCAAGACATCAGCATATCAAAGTGGATATTAATTGAATAGAAAAATACAAATAAACTGTCCTAAGCCAGGCATGGTGGCGCATACCTTTGATCTGAGTACTTGGGAGGCAGAAGCAAGTGGATCTCTGTGAGTTCAAGGCCAGCCTGGTCTACATGGTTAGCTCTTGGACAGCCAGGGCTATATAGAGAATACCTGTCTCAAAAAACAAAAATAAAGAAATGAACAAAGCCCTATCTTGTTTGGTTTTTGTGAGCCTGACACAAGCTGGACTTATCTGAGAGGAAGAAGCCACAGTTGAGAAAATGCCGTCATCAGACTGAGCTGTGGGCAAGCTTGTGGTATGTTTTCCTGATTGATGATTGATGTGGGAGAGTCCAGCTCTCTGTGGATGATGTCACCCTTGGGCAGGTAGTCCTGGGTTATATAAGAAGGCATGCTGAGCAAGCCATGAGGATAAAGCCAGTAAGCAGTACTCCTCCATGGTCTGCAGTTCCTGCCTCCACGTTCCTGCCTCAGGTTTCTGCCCTTCCTTTGATGATGGACTGTACTGCAGAACTGTGAGCCAAATAAATCCTTTCTTCTCCAAGTTGCTGTCAGTAACCACAGTTTATCACAGAAATAGAAAGCTAAATAAGACATAACAACTGTGCTTATATTTATAATTAATCTGCATAACAGCAATTGCATGAACTTGGAAGAATACTGAATGAGGTTAAAGTGTTCTATGACATTCAGAATATGTGAGAACAGGCAAATGTTCTCACTTAGAATAATTCAGTAAAGCAAGAGTATTACTCTCACGTACTGACTAATCATGAATATAATAGTGGCAACAGGCTGGAAAAATAGCTCAGTTGATAAAATCTTTGTTATGCAAAGAAGAATAGCTGAGTTTGATGGCTGGGACCCATAAAAAAATGGTAGCATATGCTTGAGATTTCAGCACTGGTGATACAGAGAAAGGAGATGCCTAGGGATCCCTGGCTAGCCTGCCTGGGAGTTGTGAGTTCCAGGCAGTAAAAAGCTCTGTCTCATAAAGCAAGATGGATGGCATACTGGGAAATACTCAAGGCTGACCTCAGGTCCATACACATTCACACACAGATGCACCTGCATTCACACACATAAGAGCATATACCGTTTTGATATTAACCCTTCTATAAATTAAGCTCTTCTTACATTATACTTTAATTTTCCCTATTTACATTAGTACTGGCCATGTTTTTATTGAATAACTGTTACTTTTATTCTTTCCCAATTATTTTCTCTTCTGTAAGTTAAAGTATGTTAACTTATGTCTTCCCTTTGCTTCTAAATTTAACATACTCTCTATAATTTTTCTTCCTAGTTAAATTTGCCTTCTGTAATTTGTTCTTTGACTATAATTTAAGTCATTCTCTGTAACATTTTATTTTTCTTTACCATTCTGAGTCTGAGTTATGTGACTTTTAAATGCAGTCTGTGCTTTCAGTCTATTTGTCTCTTCCTTTCAGAGGCTGTTTTTATGGAAATCACTTTGTAATTCACTAGAAATCACTTTGTAATTCACTAGAAATGAAACAGAAGGCCACAATTCTACCTTTTTATTCCACTCAACAAGCATCCATTTAGCACCTGCTTTGTGTCAGGAAGGCTCTAAATACCCGGGGTATACCAGGAACCAAAGACTGCAGAGCTTTATTTCCCAGTCTGTGGCATACAGTAACAACGCGGATCAGCAAGTTAACATGTGCTAGAGGATAAGGGTAATATAAAGTGGAAAAGGTAATGGAGACTGGGCATGTGCGAAGGCTGTGATTGCTTAATCAGTGGTGAGAATTAAGGGTTGCTGGGAAAGTGCCATTTGAGCACAACTGCAAAGAGGTGGCAGTGTTGGTGGCACTGTGGGTACCAAAGCCCCGACAAGGGTGACAGCCTTGCAGGTTCACTAACAGATCAAGGTGGGTACAATGGAATGACTGCACAGGGGTTGTAGGATGTGAAAGCAGAGTTAGTGGGGGCTTGCACCCTGCTGTGGTGTGAGGGGGCGTTATCCTCCTGGAAGGGAGGCACCTTTGCAGACCGCCCTGAAAGCTCACCTGTAGATGTGAAGGTGAAGCAGCTAGACGGATCTTCCAGGTCTCCTGAGTGCAGTGTGACTGGCTCCCTGGGAACGGAAGGAGGGTGCAGGTTAATCTTTACTATCTGACTGGACTGGGAAACACCTGGGAGAATTATAATACAATTATTATTCATAGGTACAGTGTAGTGCTATATAGCCAAGAGAGGTGAAAATCAACACATCACTTCTGTTTAGATTAAAAGATTCAGAAAGATTCAGTTTACTGTATTGTGATCAAGAAGCAGAGACAGAAAGTATTTATGATACTGCCTTGATTCATTCACTGAAAAGTATTTACTGAATGTGTCTTGGTAGGCATTGTGCACAAGTGCTGAGAAAACAGCAATGAGTAAGCCCATTCTTTTCATTTATTTATCCATCTACCCATCTACCGACTTATTTATTTATCTACCCATCTACCTATTTATTTATTTACCTATCTATCTATCTATCTATCTATCTATCTATCTATCTATCTATCTATCTATTTTTGGCTGTCCTAGACTTACTACGTATACCTGGCTGGCCTCAAACTCACAGAGATCTGCCTGCCTCTGCCTCCCTGCATGCTGGAATTAAAGGCATGTGCCACTGTGCCTGGCAAATAAACCCATTCTTAACTGTCTCAGTTAGGGTACTATTGCTGTGATAAAATGCTATGACCAAATCAACTTGGGGAGGAAAGTTATTCAGTTTATGCTTCTGTATTACAGTTCATCAACAAAGGAAGTCAGGACAGGAATTCAAACAAGGCAGGGACCTGGAATTAGGAGCTGATACAGAGGCCATGGAGGGGTTCTGCTTACTGGCTTGCTTCTCATGGCTTGCTCAGCCTGCTTTCTCATTAGAACCCAGGACCACCTGTCCAGGGATGGTACCACCCACAAGGGGCTGGGCCCTCCTCCAATAATCGCTAATTAAGAAATGCCCCACAGGCTTGCCTACAGCAAGATATTGTAGAGGCATTTTCTCAGTTGAGGCTCCATCTTCTCTGATGACTCTAGCTTGGGTCAAGTTACATAAAAATAGCCAGTACGATAACTAAAACTCAAATAGTTGCAAGTACATAATCATTTTCATATTATTTTTTAAATTCTTCTCATACAATACATCCTGACCACAGTTTCCCCTTCTTCCACTCCTCTCGGTCTCCACCTCCCCTCTCCCCTAGATACACTCCTCCTCCATTTCCTTTCAGAAAAGAGCAGGTCTCCCAGGGATATCAACTGAGCATGGCATAACAAGTTATAATAAGACGAGACACAAAGCCTTGTATCAGGACTGGGGGAGGCAGCCCAGTAGGAGAAAAAGGGTCTCAAGAGCAGGTGAAAGAGTCAGAGACACTCCCCCACTCCCACTGTCAGGAGTCTCACAAAAATGTTTTCGTACTCTTAAGAAAGATTTAGAGGTGGTTTATATTTTTATGGGTCACGAAAACAAAAATATTAAAGGATTAAGTATTCTATAAACATACATTATTATAACTTTATATAACTGGAGGGTCAGGACTGAAATCTGTCTGCTCAGTGTTATATATTCCAAGATCTAGGAAAGCAGATTGTACATTATAGAGTTCATAGTCTTTTAAATCAGCAAACAGAACCAAAGGGCTATTTTATAACTTAGGGACAGTGAAATCATTTCTCACCTGCTAAGAGTCTCACTGGATTTGCTGCCTTCAGTGGAATCCCTTAAGGAGTTGGAGCTTCTGTTGGTAGGAAGGACAGGAGAAATTAAAGAGATGTGTTATAAAGCTGGGCACAGTGGCCCAAGCCTTTAATCCTTTAGAAGGCAGAGGCAAGCAGACCTCTATGTGTTCAGGCCAGCTCGGCCTACATAGTGAGTTCCAGGTTACATAGTGAGGTCCTGTCTTGAAAAACAAAAACCAAACAACATAAAAAAGATAGTTATTTTCTTATTAATATAATAAAAATCTATGAGGGAAATAGTTTAGAGGAGGAGGGTGCCGGGAATTGAACCCAGGGCTGTGTGCCAGAACAAGCTACCACCTAAGGTCAGTTTATTTTTATACTGATAGAACGATCACCAAATGTTAGCTTTATGATAAAACACGTTTTCATGTGAGCACTAATTTTAGGGAGATACAGACTCAAAAGCGGGAAGCTGAAGCTCTTCCTCTTCTGGGAGAAAATATGAAGTCAAAAGGAAGACAGCTGTGAGAAGCTCATCAAGAAAAGGCGCTGCTGCCAACCCTGACAACCTGAATTTGGTCCCTGGAGCCCACATGGAGAGGACAGATGCTGCAAATTGTCCTGCAGTGCGCGCGCACACAGGAGAGAGAGCGTGCACACACACCATAAATAATATATACAAGAACAAATACCTTAAAAGGAAAAGTGAACCCCTGGGAACCAGAGTAATCAGTTGGGGACGACATACAGCTTAGTACAGTGCTTGCCTGTTACATACAAAGCTCTGGGTTTGATCCCATCACCACATAAGCTGGGGGCATGGCCGGGGCCTGTAATCCTAGCACTGGAGGCAGAAGCATCTGCAGTCCATTCAAGAGCACCCATTCCTGGCTATACATGAAATCCTGCCTTAAAAGAAGGGGGGATCGAAGACAGTCTGCTTCGATCAGAGAGAGCACAGTACAGCAGTACAGGGTGTGTCTGAGGGTTAGCTTTGCTGTAATGAAACACCATGATCAAAAGCAACGTGAAGGAAAGGGTTTCTTTTGCTGATACTTCCATGTCACAGTTCATCATTGAAGAAAGTCAGGGCAGAAACTCAAGGTAGAAACCTAGAGGCAGGTCCTGAAGCAGAGGCCACAGAGAAATCTTGCCCTATGGCTTGCTCCTCGTGGCTTGCTCAGCCTGCTTTCTTAAACAACCCAGGAGCACCTGCCCAAGCATGATGCCACTCCCTGTGGGCTATGCCTCCCACCTCAATCACTCATCAAGATAATACCCCACAGGTGTGCCTACTGACCAGTTTTATGGAAGCATTCTCTCAACTGGAGTTTCCTCTTCTCAACTCTAGCTTGTACTAGGTTGACTTAAAACTAGCCAACTAGCCAGTGCAGGTTAGCTGCTAGAAGTCAAGAGAGTTTTCAGTGCCAGCTGAGAGGCCAGAGTTTACTGGAGCAGGCAGTGGTGAGACGAGGTTTTTAAAGCAATGAGTTCTGTGTCATTGGTGCTCCTGTAAATTCCTTCTGGACCGTCTTTCCAAGTTACAAAAGCCACTGTAAATGCATGTAAATGTAGGGCAATTTTTTTTTGGTGTGGCATACCAAACAAACAGGTCACATGGCTAACCTCAGTGCTTTCGTCTGGGTGCTGACCGCCTCCTAAGTGTGATGACTTAAACAGTGGCTTGGTCCCCAGCACAGAACTACTGGAAGGCAGGCGGAGGAGCTTTCAGGAGTGGGGCCTTGTGGGCAGTACTTAGGTCACGTGAGAGGGAACTGGGGTTCCTTGCCCTTTCTCTCTACTATACCATCTGATACCCTAAACAGAGCAATGATGGGTGAGAGCCTGACTGTGGGCTAGAACCTCTGGGATGTGGGGGACAACAACTTTTGTTCTGGTAAGTTACCTCAGGCACTTTGCTATATTGACAGAAGCTGAGAATCACAATCAGCAAGATTTAAAATAAGCAAAAAGGAAAAGAAAACACTGTTGATTTCTAGAACTTTGAAGTCATTTTTTAGAGTTAAGCAATGTAACAGCTTTCCTTCTCAGAAGCCAACATGCACATGAAGTTCCATGGAAACTGTTCAAATCCACCTCCCAAACTGCCAGGCCTGCAACACAGATCACACTAAGAGTCTGGTACTCTTACCTGTGGCAGAGCTCAGATCTCAGGCTCGATTCCCTGATGCAGTCTCTTACTCTATCTTCTCTGTGGAGACAGACAGACACAGTCAACCACACACATGCATCTGTGCGCCAGCTGGAAGCTACAGTTGTATTTGAGGCAGCTAAGCAAATCTACCAAAAGCCAGCTAGTTCTGGACTTCAGCGCAGACAATGCTTTCTTCCACAAGTTTGTTTTTGGTTGTTTGTTGTTGTTTAAAAAGGTTGGAGCTGTGTAGCCCTGGATGGCCTGGAGCTCATCGTGTAAACTGGGCCGGCCTCCTTGCAGCAACCCTCCTGTCTACTTCATGGGTGCCAGGATTCCAGGCAGGCACCACGCTAAGGGCTTCCTTCCATACATTCTTCAGCTTATGCAGAATTTAGACTTTAGTGACGAGGCCATTTGTAGGATTACAGAAAATTAGCCTGAACCTCACCAAATACATTTATTTGATACAGTCCTGATACAGTTCAATGCCACTGGGGATGGCAGTGATGGGAACTGACTGGGAAAGCCATGGTAACCCCGCAGAGTCGTTAGTGCTCAGGACCACAGCGCCTGCTGACTTCCGGTGGTCTCTTAGTTTCAGAAGAGGCAGGTCAGTCTATGATGGAATGTATTCACCTGTCGACCTAATGATACTGTCCTGGCATAGAAGGCCTCTTAAAGTTACAGGAAACATGGAAGCGCTCAGTCTGGCATGGTAGCACCTGCATGCCTGCAATCTCAACACTCTGGATGTTGAGGCAGGAAGCTGTGTGTGGTAGCGGGCCCTTTACACCCAGCACTCAGGAGGCAGAGGCAGGCAAGCAATGAGGGTAGCCAGGTTTACACAGTCCCAGAACAGCTAGGGCTACACAGCGACACCCCCCGTCTCACTCCCACATACACAGAAAACAAAGTGTTCTGCAAGTCAAAGGATTCTTTGCTGGAACAGCCAACAGAACATTTCTGACATTGTGTCACGGAGGTAATTCGGTGTCAGGATAGGTAGCCGATATAGTACTGATGTTTTACTCTCATTGTTAACAATTAGACAGTTCCAGCTAATGTCAGCTAAATATGCATTCACAGAACATCTTAAGGCACTGTTGGTGAGTTGTACAGAGATATTACTTCAGAAAATTTTACTTTCATGTATCTGTCATATAAACACATTATTACCAAAATTAGCACTAACATGGCTACCATGTTAAATTACTATAAGTTAATGTAAATGATAATATAAGAGCATCTGGAAAGCACACAGGAGTCTCACTGATCTCTGCAGATCACAGAGGCTGGTGAGCTGACTGACTCTGTTTTGGATGGGACTTCTTATTAATTTGCTGTAAGCCATCGTCAGGAAAGGCCGGGACCTAGGCTTTCCTTAGCCTACTCCCTGAGGGCTCGTAGTTTGCAGTGTGGTACTGCTTTAGCTTCACAATGGACTGTGTGTCCCACACACGTCAGCCCTTTGGTTGTCACGACTGGTGGTGGCACTCAAGTAAGATTATGGATATGAAATCTCTCGGGAATCATGAATCAATACAAATTAACATCAACTACCACGGTGTACTGCTCACTTCCTGGACTGAGCGAACCTCCTGTTACTCTTGGGGCAGGCCTTTTTGCTTAACCCCTCCACCTTCACACTGCCTTTCCCGGTAACGTCACAGTCTTTCAACGCTGTCTGATCCTTGACCTTTCAACAGGAACATGTGACAACATAATGGTGACACGCTCCTGAGGGGAGCGCTGCCTCTGTGAGTGTGCAGCCTTACACGGCCACCTACAGTGCTCCAAGAGATGGCATCCTGGCATCCTCCTCCGCCTTGCTCAGGGGCATGGCCGGCTCCTCGTTGATCACACTTCTCAGCTCCTGCAGAAGCTGCTTCAGGTCCCGCGTGGGGTCGTCCTTCAGTGTGTTGGTCTTCACAGAGTGCTGAAAATAACACACAAGCACAGACTCAGCTTTTTAGAGCTGTGCATTACATTCTCTCATCAAATGAATTTAGCTGCTAAACAGAAATCACGAGAAGGCGGAGCGGATGGTGGTTTGTTTTGCAGTGCACAGGTCCATTTCAACTTCTAGCCATTTGGATAGCCCCTAACTTTTATCTAAATAGTACAATCCTTCTGATTTTAAATGTAAAAATGTGATTATTGTAACTGACGATTGGAAGAAGTCTTGCTTTCTTAAGTGTTAGAGCTGGCTACTGATTACAAGAAGCTTGTGCATCTTCAGAGAAGGCCTGAATTTATATTATTCATGTTTTTTCTTGTCTTTTGAAAGTATAAAAAGTTAAACTAAAAAATTTTCCAACTTACTAACGTTTTAAACTAGAGGAACTAAAAGAGTTTTAGAAATAATAAAATGTTAAAAATAAGTTTATGGGGATGGGGCGAGGCTCAGTGGTTAAGAGCACTGGCTGCTCTTCCGGAGGATCCAGGTTCAATTCCCAGCACCCACGTGGCAGCTCAAGGCTGTCTATAACTCCTGTTCCAGGGGCTCTGACTCCCTCACATATGTAGGCAAAAAACCAATGTACATAAAAATTTTAAAAATTATAACAACATAAGTTTACTAGGAAATGACATAGAGTCAACAGACTTTTGTCTTAGTGAAGTATTAAATATGCTGTGTGGCCCTTAGCACTTGGTATGCTATTTATTTCACCACATGTATTGCTTTGTAATCCGAAACATGTTTGTGCTAGAGTGAATGGAAGAACTGAGTGTAATGCAATGAAATAATTTATCTTAATGTTTTTGTTATCATTAATATCAATGACTATTTCATTTTGTCTTTTCCAACAAAATATCAATGAAGAAAATATTTTTTTTCAGTCTGAATTCTACTGGATTCCAAGGAAACTGTATAAATCTAACATCTAGTCATGTAAAATGTCATTCAGTTTATAGGGTGCATGATTAGTTACTGACATGAGACAGGAAGCTGGCCGTAGACTGGGAGGAAGGCACGTTGGAGTGAGAACGAGCTACAGTCGCTGGCTGGAGCAGGCGAGGCTTCATTGAAGGACTGGAGGTGTACCCGGGGCCCTGAAGTTCCTACAAACAATGCAGATGTGAGATGAGCAATGCCACCTACCACTACAGAGAACCGTGAAGTCAAAATTTAACTTCACAGGCAAAACCTATTATTAAAACTTTAAAATACCGAGCAATTTTAAACTGTGCTTCTAAAAGCATATACATTTTGGTAGAGAAGCACTGTTTCTAAGAAAACATGTTTTGTCGTGTGGATTGCTCTATAGACAAGCCAAACATTGATCCTTTGGGTCTTTGTATTCACTTGTCATCTGCGTGTGGAAAGCTCTTCCTTAGGCATTCAAGGCAGGCCCTGGTGGACATGGTTCCACTCACTTCTATGAGCTGTTTCACTGTTGCCTGACATGAAAGTGTAGCTGCCACGAGTAGCAACCTCTACAGACTCTTATGTGGGAACAGTAGAAGATGTGGAGACAAGGTAAGGTACTAGGTAGGCTCCTGAGACCTGGCTCAGAGGAGAGAACTGGTTGCGCCAGCCCAGTGGAAGGACTTTGACCCCAGTCCTCAGGTAAGCAGCCAAGCGCAGTGGCCGCAGCCTGCAGTCCCTGTGCGGGGAGGTGGGAAGAGATGGATCCTGGGGCCTCGCTGATGCACCAGCCAAACCCAGTCAGTGTGTCCCAGGTTCAGTGAGAGATCCTGTGCAGACTGACTGACGAAAAAACCTAACACTGACCTCTGGCCTCTCCAGTGCTCAGTTGAAAACACATGAGTATCTAAAAAGCAATACACAAATATAAACTCACCTTCTCTCTCCCACACACAACAGAGAAATGTATATCAGAGCATCTCAAGCATAGACATTGTTTCTGTTAAACTATGTGTGATGGAAAACATCCTTACTTTCACATCCAAAGTGTGCTGAAGTTTTAGGCGCACTGACTCTTGTTCCTGTCGCTGTATTATATCTTGACATTCTGCAAACTGCAAAGATGCCTACAATCAAGCAACCATAAGTGGTTTATCCTCCATTCCTTCTGCACTTTTATTTCATTAACCTGTAATGTAGAGTTTCTAGCTCTTCAAGGAAAACCATCTAGCCCTGGCACACTGTCCACTGCATTCCAACGGCCCATTGCATTCAGCCATGTGGCCTGTCTTAGCCAGTGCACCCTCAGCATTCACACAGTAATTAGTATTGATGAGTGAACTAAGAATGGAATGAGCAAAAAGCTTTCTCAAAGCATACAATTTCTATCTGGGCTCAGAGGTTCAGGCCCATAATTCTAGGACGTAGGAGGCGAAGGCAGGAAGATCAGTAGTTCAGTGTCACCCTGGGCTATATAGCCACATTCAAAAATCCAAAACTACCACTGAATTGAGAATAGCGTGTTTTAGGAAACACAGCTGGCATAGTAAGATCACAGATTATTTCATCTAACCACGAAGGGCTGACTTCTCAGGAACTAATGGTTGGTTTCGATATAATTTTAGATTCAACATTTCAAACAGGAAGACAGTTTTATCCCTGTAACAAATGATAAACACAGTGTCAGGCCCCTCTCCTTCTGGCTCTTTTCTACCCACTCTTTCCAAACCCAGCAGGTCAGATGTTGGTGCCGTCACCGTCTTCACATTTGAGTGCCCGTACTGAAATCTAGATCATTTGTGCCGGTAGCTTAGAGGCTCATGCAATCATGTCTACTCAAGTTACTAAGGACGCCAAGGGCATAGGCTATCTGCTCTTCTGTGTTGGCTTGAAAATGGTTTATTTTGGGGGTGGGCATGGGGGAAGTATACTATCAGGACTTGAGTCTAAAATGTTTCCCACAGGCGGTGGAAGCTTTAGGAAGCTTTAGGAAGCAGGGCCCAGCAGACAAACAAACAAACAAAAACAAAAGCAAAAAACAACCACCAACCAAACCAAAACCTAGAGCAGTGGCTCTCAACCTGTGGGTTGCATCACCTTTGGCTTGAATGGCCCTTTCACAGGGGTCACATAAGACCTTCAGAAATATCAGGTATTTACATTACAATTCATAGTAGCGGCAACATTACAATTAGGAAGTAGCAACAAAAATAATTTTATGGCTGGGTCACCACAATATAAAGAAATGTACAAAAGGGTCGCAGCATTAGGAAGGTTGAGAACCACGGACCTAGAGACAGAGTTTTCTTGATTCTGGCTTCACACTAGGTCTGTTATGATACAAGGTGTGGCTGCATACTTCTCACTACCATGAGTATCACAGCAACCTTCCCCACCATGAGGGACTGAACGAAACATGAAATCATGACTGAAAAATAAAGCTCTCCTGCTTCTGCCAGGCAGCTTGGTGCCAGGCACATAGAGGGACTGACAGCTACGTGATGGCTGGGATTGTGAAGTCAGCAGTTTCCTCTGTGAGTGACAGCCGGCCTCTGTGCTCTAAGATTGGGATGTGATGCAGGACGGTGCGAAGAGTCCAGTCCTGCTGCTCTCTGGGTGCTAATTCCCTCATCCAGTCAGTTAATAACTACCTTGTCAAGGGCGGCTTCCATGTTAGCGACCTTCTCCTTCAAGCGGCGTTCCTGAGACCGCAGCACTTCTAGCTCACCAGCCATCTTGTTTTTCTCTGTTGCTACAGAACTCAGCTCCTGGCTGAGCTTACTCTTCTCTTCTTTCAAAAAATGTCTCTCCTATAATTATGGAAGAAAAATAATCAGGAATAAAAATAAAAATAAAAATCTTTAATGTTGACGCCTAAAAATTCCATCAAAGGACTCATGAGTTAGGTACATTTTCATCTCTCCTAGCATCACTTTTTAGGTTCCTTGGATCTTTGCTGACATCTACAAAGAATGAAGCAGCCATGCATCATTCAAAAATAGCATTTTGGTGCAAAAGGATTAAATGATGGCATACTAAATTTTACTGACATCTACTTTAAATACCAAGATATTTAAAGAAGATACATTTATTTGAAAAATCTCAATTTTGCTTCATGGTAGAACATTTCTTTCAAATACGTGTACGGTAGATTGTATGACATAGAAACAAATGAGATGGACAGCTCTACCCCTCAAGTCACCTGCCAGTGTAGTGGTGGAAATGAACTTGCTGATATAATGTGTTTGGTATTAAGCAAAACAGTTATTCAGATTGCTTTTCTCCTTTAGAGAAGAACTGTAGAACAAACACAAGGAGAGGCTAGTTGTCAAGAAGAAACCCCGGCATCGTGTTATCAAGTCTGTTTCTTTGCATATATTTTTTCATAATGAATATGTTTGCTACAAATAATCAGAAAATGTCATGACAACACATATTTTGCATTGCATTTTTTTCTTTTTCTGATTGGGTTGGGCAGGGACATCTGTAGAGTGGAAGATGGGTTTGCTTTACAAGTTTCCTCTTGTTCTGAGACTGTGCCTGAGCTAGGACACTTGTTCCACATGGAGGCAGACAGTAACTTCAGAGAGCCCGAATTACCGTCAACTGGGAAATGTTTTAGACTCCAAGAGGGGAATAATAAGCAGAAAGAGAAAAGAATTTGTTCAGGAAAAGAGAAAAATGGGGGAAAAAAAAACAGAGAAAAGGAAAACAAGTAGGTACATATGATAAATTAAAGGGTATACAAATGTATATACATTCTAAATTACCCTGGGGCTCATTGTGGGTGATAACCTCGTAATTAATTTACTTACATTGATTATTTTTACTTATGCCATTTCTTTGACATTCATTACAATCAGTTCTGTTATAAATATGAAAATGTAAATTTGCTTCAAACTGAATCACAGCATTTGAACATAGTACAAATTTCATGTTTGCTTATGAACATTTTCCACTCAATAATTGTGAAAACTCCATCTGACTAGCCAGAGCTATGTAGGAAGACACAAAGAGCCTACACACGCTTTCTTCAAACACATGTGTCAGCTGCCTCGCTTTACCCTGGATTAGGAGCCACGTGGGAGCCACGTTAGGTCTCCCGCCTCTTCGCAGTAACAGACAGTTTCATGAGCAGATTCCAGTTTTCTTTTCAAGATACAAGACCACATGTACCGTTATATATACATATACACACATAAATTTTGTCATTTTCTTACCTGAGTAGCAAACCAAGGCAAGCAGGTGAGTGTTCTATCACTGAGCTAAATCCCAGCTGAGCAACTTCATACCTGGAAATCTGGATTACTGTTCTTAGGCTCCTGCTTCCCTGTGTAAGTCCTCCAGATCTCACTGCTCTGAGCACTCTTCATAACAGAGTTCTTTACAACATGGTTTTTAGGAAGACAGTAGCACAGTGCTGATTTCATATATGTATGTAAATATATTTATAACTGTTTCTGACTGTCCCTGCACTCGACACTAGCCATTTGTTCCTTAAGATCCTGGAGGTGACTCAGCAGTTTAGAGCACTTGTTGCTCTTACAGAGGACCCAGGTTCGATTCCCAGCAGCCACACGGAGGCTCACAACCATGCATAACGCCACTTCCAGGGCATCTAACACGTCTTCTGACTCTGTACACACATGCACACATACATATATGCAGGCAAGGCAGTCATATAAATAATTTTTTTAATCTAAAAACTAAATTAAACTAAAAAAACTACTCCTTCAGTATTCCTTTGGAAAATTGCCCTCATTCTCTCTGTCAGAAGCCTTTCCCCAGCTGTACTCCCTGTGCTCTGCCCTCTTCTGCCTCATAGTGTGTGTTCGTGAATGACCATGCTGGTTTCTCAGGACAGAGGCTCACCTTGTTGGCGCTTGTCACAGCCTCTTCCAAAAACTGCACCTTGCTCTGCAGGGCGTCTATTTGACCTCTCTTGGCTGTGATTTGCTTCTGCATGCCCATGGCCACCTTCATAGCTGTGGGAAAGATGCAAGCTGCACATTTTGAGAGGATACTGGAATTTATGACAAGATGACAAGTGAGATTCACTAAGGTCCCCAGGAAGTGTCAATTAAAATATCCTGAGGCAAAATCTTTAGGGTTCATAATATTGCATTATATAATAATTGAAGCAAATACCCAGAGATTCTGAACTAACCAAAATATTCATGGTGATGTTTTGTGGTTTCTTTGCTACTGGAATTAATTTTACTGACTACTATTAGTTTCATGTTTTCATTGGTAAAAACAACACTGAACAAATTTATACACATATAGGAAACATACATATAAATACAATCACATATGTTTAACCAAGATAATTTTTTCAGAAGCCCATGTTTAAAATATCATTTAAGACATCTGCTATTAGCAAACTTTTAAAAGACACCGGGGTTGTCATAAACCATTCCATTCCATTCTTGGAGATATTGACATATGATAGAACTCACTACAGTCTCAACAGTAAAAATTCCACAGAAGCATAAAAATGGTTGTTTTCAGAAAAAGATGAGACTTTTATTTTCTTTTTAAAGACTTATTTCTTTTATTTATACATATGAGCTTTTTTCCTGCATTTATGTCTGTGTATCACATGTGTGCCTGGTGCCTTTGAGGGCCAGAAGGAGTCAGAGCCCCTGGAACAGGAGTTATAGATGGTTGTGAGCCTGTGTGTGTGTGCTGGGATCTAACCCTGGTCCTCTGCAAGAACAGTGGTGCTCTAACACACTGATACATCTCTCCAGCCCCCATGAGAATGTTTTAGTGGGACACAATCCACAGAATCCTTAGGACACGATAAGCTATTGAAACGATATGGGAAGCCTGTCTTAATATAGAAGTTTAAAGTTAGAAGACCCTATCTTTTATTCACAAGTCAGTTGAGGAAATACATTTGAAACTAATATTGCTTTGAGTCAGGCCTATAAATTAGAAATTAAAAAGGAAAAGAAAACTATACTATTTGTTGAAAATAAACCATCAGAAGAATAGTTCATTAACAACATATGGTTCTTGACATATGTGGTTGGGCATTCCTTTAATCCTAGTTTTTGGAAATAAAGACAGGAAGAGCAGGGGTTTAAAGTCATCTCAGGTAGTTTGAGGCCAATCTGAGAAAAAAAAAAAATCTTTGTTGTTGCCCAAGCACAAATGAATCTTCTAACTAATTAAAAAGCAACAACAAAAAGCAAACCCTCATAATCCTCAGGGACCAACAAGATGGCTCAGTGAAGGCATTGCTAAGCCTGACAACCTGAGCTTCACCCATGAAGCCACATGGTAGAAGGAGAGAGTCCACTCCAGAAAGTTGTCCTCTGACCTCCACGTGTGCAAGCACACACACACACACACACACACACTCACGCTAATTAAATAATATTTTGAATATAAATAACAAAATGAAACGGGCTAGGAGATGGCTTAGCTGGCCCGGTGCTTGCTGTGGAAGCATGACCTAGTTTTGACCTCTGTAACAAAGCTTGGCCCGGAGGACCCACATGTAACCCTGTACTCGCTGGCTAGGCAATCTACACAATCAAGAAAGACCCTGAGAAAGACCCTGTCTCAAAAGAGAAAGTGGAGAATAATGGAAGAAGACACATGATGTCAATTCTGACCTCTACACACGTGCACACATGCAAATGCATATTTAAAAACCCATTACTAGAAAGAATATAGTTAAGCTTGATAAATACTAATTCTTACAGTCAGCTAATCTAGCTATAGCCAGAATGGCCGCACACGAGGACCAGCTTCTCTCATGCTGACAGTCCTCACTATCACTCAGACGGTACATGCATGGGTCAGTAACGGCTCACGCAGAAAGGTGTCAAGCGCTTTGTGGGACAAAGACCCCCTCATCTGGTAGTTATATTACCAAATCCCATTTCATTTTTACCACAGAGAAGAAATCAAGAGCTGCCAATTAGCCATTGATCTACAGTTTACTTAGACAACATACTTGCATTTCTACCCTTAAAAATAAGGAGAAACAATGAGATTTGTTAGAAATTACTAAAATAGTGATATGCTTTTATATATGTTTTGGGGATTTTGTTTTTGTTGTTTTGTTTTGAGAAAGGGTTTCCTCTGTGTAGCCCTGGCTGTCCTGGAACTTTCTTTGTAGACCAGGCTGGCCTCGAATCCACAGAGATCCTCCTGTCTCTGCCTCCCGAGCGCTGAGACTAAAGGTGTGAGGCACCACATCTGGCTGAAAGATGGGTCAATTCTCCTTAAAACAGCAGAAGCACTGCTTCATAGAGCCCAGCACAATACCCATGCTGTGTACTTCTCACATTACTGGGCACCGTGAAGAACTTAATTCCACCGTGCTTGGCAGTATATCTAGGCTCGTGGCTTAATAAACTTGGGCAATGGAATTGACAGAGGGCAGGGAAGCAGAGCATACCGTGCCCGTCGGATCCTTCCATGGTCTTCAGTGTGTTCCTTGTTTGCTCCAGTTCAGTCTGCGCAGATTTTAATTGCATCTTTAGTTTGTTTGTAGTGCTTTCCATTTCTTCACTTTTGTTTCGAAAATTCCTCTTTAAGACTTCATAGTCCTCTACATAACATAATAAGCAGTATTTGTATTTATTGATCACAGCATCTTAGAGGCTGTAAAAAAAACCTCATGTCATCAGTCCTCATTTTGTTTTTGTAATTAGCTCACAACTGTCCCATCTTCTTGTTTTTATTTGTTTGTTTGTTTGTTTGTTGTCAGTCTTTGATTGGCTGATTTTGAGACAGGGTCTCACTAATGATGTAGCCCTGGCTAGCCTGGAACTCACAGAGATCCACATGCCCCTGCCTCCCATGTGCTGGGATTAAGGTCATGTGCCACCATGGCAAGCCTTCTGTCTTTTTTATCTTAAACCTTTTTCTGGGATGCCCCAGTCTTCAGGACACCATGACCTAAGGCTCCCATAGGTCTTTTTAAAATCTATTTGTTTTAATTGACTTCGAAGTGTCCTGCCTTCCTCCCATCCTAATGTGCTACATACTGAACCCAAGGCCTTGCCTGTAGAAGCAAGTACTTTACTCACAAAGTTATACCATTTATTTATTTATTTGCTTGTTTATCTCCAGTAACTATCAAAATACCTGGCACACAGTAATATTCCAGCATTAATGAAGAAAGAGGCTCACAAGACCCCACTCCTAGCTGAGGAATGACTGGTAGGTGATGGCTGCTGGGGAAAACTCTGGTTTTGTGGGGTGTTGTGTTAGTAGGTTGCCCGTGCTTCGGTGGATGATCCTAAGCCCATGCACACTTAAGCACCGCTAATTGGAATTAGTGGGCTGTAAAGCTACTAATAAGAGGACATGAAGTTGGGAGGGTAGATGGAAGAGGGTTCCAGGAGGAGCAAAAGAAGGAGAGTGAGGTGTGGGTGTAGCTAAAGTACACTGCATACATGTCTGAAAGCTTCAGAGAATAAAAATGTTCTAAAAATACTTGGCATAAACTCATCCACCATACAGTCTATCTACCTATGTATATATGATACCTATGCGTATATGATACAGGTTTTGAGGGTTAAGACAAGGTCTCAAGAAGTCAGGCTGCTCTC